AGAGAGGCTGCTGCTGCATCTGCCCTGACAGTACCAGCAGTGGCCGTGATTTAGTGTGATTACATGTGACATCTCTGTTCTTGTAAATCAGCTGTGCAAAATCCTGCTACGCAAACAAAGGCAAACAGAGGAATTGCAGGGGAGAGACCAGGTTAATACTGGGGGATGTGCCTCGAGTCAGGTCACGTTCTGCATTTGATGAGTTTTAGGTCTTCCATGTAGATTTTTGCTTTACTTGTTTTTGTGGGGAGGGTGTTGTATTGCCAAAGTGAGTGATGAGGAAATAGTAGCATACAGTTGTTAATCGAGGCTTGGGGGCTTTTGCAGAGTGAAGCAATCCATGTTATAACGGTGCCATGCAGCCTGGTAAAGATTATTTGTGCCTGCTGGGTAACATGGCTGAGAAAACTTGATCCCATTTGTCAAGGTGAGACTAAACACCGCTGCATTATGAGGAGGAAAGATTATGTACAACACACTCCCTGGCACGTGTTGGCAATGTGGACGGGCACTTGAATGCAGGTCCGCTGCTTGTGCAGAGCCTGCACCAAGCCAGGCAGAAAATTAACTAGCAAAATTAATTTATTTGTATATTAGTATTGATACCGGTGGGGACTCATCAGGAAAAATGATTGTTAGGAGCATGTGGAGCTTTTTTATTAACATTCTTTTTTCTAATGTAAAATATACACTAAAATAAAAATATGAAAACCTAGTTCATCTTGGTAGGGGGTTAACATGGAAAAGGTTACTTAAATGCTGCTGCTTGCCTGTTTGCTGCAGGCAGCAGGCCTCGTGTAAAGACTTCACAGGCGTGTGTCATCTGCACCAGGAATGAGTTATCTGCAGCCACTGAGGTGGAGCTGGAGTCTGCTTTGAGGAAATCTTCGCTTCTGTGGGGAACTCAGGGGCTGCTCTTCCACGCCGTGTGTGGCAGCGTTGCCTTTGATCCATCCCTGTATTCTCTATTGCTCTTTTGTCAGTTGACAAAGATTAAACTGGAGGGGGGAAATGTGCTAGATTCTTGCATGTCAGAATAAGCTAATTCTGCTGTTGGAGCCTTTTTCACGTACCTGAGATGTGAGCCAAGTATTTGCAGCATCAGTTTAGAGGAGGAGCAGCTGCCATAGGAGTTAACCCCATTGCCGTGCTTTTTGCACACAGAGAAAACTTTCCAACTGAGAGGCCTTTTCCTTTCTCCCTCCCTTCCCTGCTGTGGGACGTATCCTCAGGGAACGGGGGAACATAGTGTGAGGAGCTGCTGGCAGTGGATGGGGTTACAACAGGATCGGCTGAGGGCAGAGCAGGGCTGCAGAGAGGTGGCTGGAGCCAGGGAGCGGGGCAGGGAAGCAGTCCGTGATTTTGGGGAGCAGTGCTGCTTCATGCACAAGAAATCTCCATAACCATGGCTCTTTGTGCTGCTGCTCTCGCCCAGAGCCATGGGGGTAGACACATCCCTGCTCCAGCCACTGCCTCCTGACTTCATTCCCTCCTCTGCTCCCAGCAGCAGCCGTTTTTTTGTGCCCTCCTCACGATATGTTCGAGAGGTCAGTCTCTGCCTTCCTCTCCCCTTCCCAAATAATGGTCAGAGTCTGGGCATACAGGGAAAAGGCTTGCTGAGACCCAGCCGTTTGCAGTGCGTACAACCAATGTTTAAACTGCTCTTTCAAAATGTAATGTGCAAAGTACTAATTAGGATAAAAGCTGGTGGTGGTCTTGTGTGGATGTAGCTAGCGTAGCACCTGATCTCTTTGCAGAACAGGTATGTGGAGTTTCCTCACCCCAGAGAGCTCGCCCTTACATAATTGTCCAGCTCTGAGCTAGATGAGAATGGGGTTTTGTCTCTCCCGCCCTCTCCCCTGCCTCCACAAAATGCTTTGCTATGAATCCTTGTTTGTAGGCAAGCTCAACCATACAGCTGTGGCCAAATTTACTGAACAGACTGCTGAGATGCTTGGCTGAGGATCAGTAATACATATTGCACAGCGTGCCCCCTAATTCTTTCAAGTTTTCTGAACCTTTGTCAGCAGTTCTGTTTATTTTGAAATAAAACGCCCTTTCTGAAGGTGGTGCAAGTCCTGGTTTGCACGCACAGATCCTACTTCTTTGGGAAAGCAACGGGATGGACTCACTTTTGCAGCCCAGGCAGGGTGATTTCTGCATTGCTGTCGTACAGAAAGTTGTAGACTCTGACATGAAACCTGCAGAGCAGAGGAGCTGTTGGCTCTGTGCAAAGTGACTGACACTGCTGGAGAGGCAGTGACTGGGAGGAAACGGGAGCTCCCAAAGCCAAAAGCCACAGCCAGTTTTCCCCCCTCTAACGGGTACATGGCACTATTTGAGTCAGCAAGGTTACATGACTGTAGGTGAATAGAAAACGGCTCAGGAGCCATGAATTCTGGGGTACAGGTTTCCCTGTGGTGCATTCCT